CCAACACATTTTGCGATTCATTTTTATATTATAGATAATATTTAATCTAAATAAGATTTAATCTAAATCAATTTTAAATAAGATTTTTAGCCTCTGTTCTCTGTGATAAACAGAAGAATTATGTATCGCACGATTACGCCACTTTATTTTATTTCATTGTTTTTATTATATAGTAATAAAAACACAAATTGTTATAGTGCTGAAAATCTACAGTACTGAATCATTGAATAAGCAATATTAAAGCCCTCGGTAAATCACTATCTGCATGTTGAAATAAAAAGCCAAAATTTTAAAACAGTATAATCCTGCATAGCATAATTTCGGAATAATAAAAATATCTTCTAAATGATTATTAGTTTGTGGAATATTTAAATATTGTTACAAAAGTTTTTTAAAATTTGTATGCATAATCATCTCCAAATTAGTTCTTACTAAGCAATAGTTATCCAAATTGAAAGTAACTTAATCGAGAATCTAACTACATAGGCTTTAAGCACAAGTTATACAGATATTTAATTCATATATTTAAGTACTTATAGGAATATTTTATAATTTATATAATTTTTTTCTAATAAGCTCAAAAAAGACTGAAACTTTACTTTAAAAAAAAGAAAGGTATTACCGATTTAGGGCAGATCCTGAACTGAGTTAAACTCCAACTAGATTTAGGGAAGAATTGTGAGTGAGAAATTTCCTATGGCCTGTTTTCAATTGAAAATAAACATTCGATATGTATTTTTAATTGAAAATCGATACCACTACTGTACGATATCAGGTTATCCAGAACAGGGGTTCGAAATCACGACCCTGTCCACACAAGACAGTGCGCTTAACCCTTACACCGTGTAGCGCTCTTGAATGTATATATGTATATGAATATGAATGTATATAGAGTAGAGATGGAGGTATTTATTGTTTTATTTATTGTTATCTGATACTGTTATTATTGAAGAGCATTCAGTGTCTCCGTATAGCTATGATGGAATTAATAATAAAAATTGTGGTATCCTTAACAGCCGTTGACATATCACGATACGGCACAAGTATGTCACATGCCGTCTATTACATATGTTTTCCGGTATCACATTTCGTTTTCTGTTGTTTAAAAAGCAGTTTGATATATTTAAAGCAACTAACATATTTAGATAATATTTGGAGAACATTATAAAGTAAAAAAACTATACTAAAATATGAACATAAAATCTAAACCTAATAACTTTCAACTGTTTTATGACAGAATTTCTGCAAAAGAACAACTACTGTGAACATTTTATTCAATGTTTACTTTTTCCATTATTTTTATATTATATATTACAAAATACCTTATTGATATTTCACTTGTTTAGTTGTACATAAAACTAAAAAAATTGAATTAACAAAAACGTTAAAAATTTAATGGAAAATGTAAACGTGCCTTAAGGGCAATCAATTTCTCTCAAATTATTAAAAGAAAAATCAAGTTTTGACATTCTGTCCATTCATATTATCCGTTTGAATAATTCCTTTGACTCTAGCAAATTGTGCCAGTTATGTAGAATAATTTATCAGATATGACAAAAACTTATCACAACTAGACGACAACTAATTATGTAGAACAACAGTTGTTTTGGTCTAAATAATTAGAACTGGATTCAAAAATATTATTATTTTTATAATCATTTTGATGAAATTCAAGCGTATATACAAATATCTTTAACTAATAACATTAAAGCTGAATAATAAATAATCTTATGTTTAGCTAGTGAACAAAATAATTTTGTCGACAGTTCACAAAACTGCATTCGATCTAAGAATTCTAAACATATTTAGGAGATCAAATATTAATATCATTATCTAATGATTGAAAAAAAGAGTGCGCGTAAGGTTCGGAAGTAAAACTTTGTTGCTATCGTACGAGATGGCATTTAAGTTAAAATCACATAACAATTTTGAATAATGTTTATTAGTAATATGGTAACATTTGCGATGCACACATTTTTTAATGTCAACAATTATAAATATTTGAAAATAATAATGTAATTGAAATCACACTTTAGATGTGATCGGTTTGTCATTGTAATTAGTATTAAGTACTTGAACCTTTATTTTTCATTTGTTTTATTATTTTCATACAATCAAAGAACCTCTTACTTACGTAATACGACGACCAATCACAATCGACCCGTATAGAAATGTTCTCATCGAGAGCGAATGACGAATAATTGGCGACTCGAGCGTAACGCCTTTTCCGTTGCATTTGTACGGATTTACACCCTAGTCGCACCTAAAAAAGTTTTACTTCAATAATTATAGGCTGATACCGTGGTTAAAGTGTGTGTTTCATGGCATAACGCTTATGCGCACTGCCTTGTGAGTTCGAACCACCAGTCTGGATAACTTGACATCGTGCAATAGTGATATAAATTTTTACTTAAAAATATAGATCAAAAATATGTTTCCAATTGAAAATATGCGATTTTCAAGCACTGCAGTGCGAAATGACAATGGTAAATCTCTCACACTATTTCTCCCTGAATAGAGTTGGAGTTTAATTCTGATTATGGACTTGCCCTGGGGCAGTACTACCAAGTACTGCAGTAAAAGAAGTAAAAAAGATATGGTATGCATTAGAGATAAAAGTATAGCATATTGAATTATTAACACAATTCAAATCAATTAGGTCTGCTAATATAAATTATTACTGAAATATCGTAAGTTTTAATATTGACTTAACTTAACTACTTTACTTCGTGATATAAAATATTATTATATTTATGTATCATGCAATTAAAAATTAATTAATTTAATGAAATTCCATTTAGTTTAAATCATGATTGTTCACTTCATTGAAATAATTTTATGAAACTCCATTTAGTTTAAATTATGATTGTTCACTACAAAATGTATTAATTTTTCATTTTGATATATATACTATACATGAGACATACTATGGGCATCCTATAGTCAGGATCGTCCTGTCTTCTATTCGTAGAATCGTTATGCAAATGGGTTCATTCTACTCGGCAATCCTTTGCGCTACGAACTCCGCCCTCACAGCATCCTTACGACCAATAATAAATCGGAATTTGGGTGCATCGCTACGTTCGACACGCCTTCTCGTAGACACATACAACCATGTGAAATATTTCAAATGGTAATAATATATAGAATCGTTATTAATCCTTCGTTGGGTGATCAGGTTTAATTTGTTATTACCTTTTAATAATTTTGTATAAATTTGTTGCACAATATTAAAAACATTTATGTTGGAATATATGAGAAAGTTATATGAAAAGGCTCTTTAGAATTATATGTGGATAAAAATTTAATTAAATTTAAATTTTATCCGATTATTTGTTTGTTGTTATTCAAGAAAAAACATAATTTATGATTACTTAACGTGATTGATACACATTCTTATATGTCAAATGTATCATAATGATTAAATTTGAAACAAATGTGAAACTAGTGGGGTGTATGGCATCGTGCCTTAAGGCAAGTTGCTGGAACTTTCCGTACCGTAACGAAATGTTCGAGGAATACTGAATGTTTTCAAATAGATTATTATTACTATTGTAACATTGTCTAATATTTATAAGAATTATATAAACTGAATTGCAAAGTTGAAATTATTTGTTTAAAGTATATACGAACTATAGTCAGAATTGAAAATAAAATCTGAATTATTTTCGATATACAAAAAAAAATTTTTTGAAAAAAAAAAGTTAAAACAAAATTTTTTTTCCAAAATCAATTATTTTGTTAAGACAAGCAGAAAGTTCTTTGAATCATTTAAATCGGACGCTTAGTTCTCTTAAAAACTGCCATTTTTTACACATTTAGCTTTGTGTCTTCGAAATGGCTGGGCCTGCCTTTGCCAAAAACTAGTAAACACTTCTCCCAATCATTACTAATTGAATGTTCTTTAGATCATTCAAATTGGATGCTCCGTTCTCTCAAAAACTCGATTTCTATTTTCTGCACTCTTTGCTCTTTATCTCCGTAACTGCTAGACCTGCCTTTGCCAAAAACTAATCAGCTCATCTTCTTATCAATAGGAGTCGACTGTTTTTTGAACCATTCAAATCCGTTGATCCGTGCGCCCGAAAATGTGACTGGAAATTTGTATCCTTGCATACATACACACACAGACATATCCATTTTTTCTGAGGTATGACAAAATATTCAGAAACCTTCAAAACGTCGAGAAATGTAAAAATTTTCAATTTCGATTTTCGGCCCATTACAATAACTTACCCTACGGGAAGTTAATGAAAGTATTTACGTAGGTGAATAAATAATTATTGTGTTAATGAAAGCTCTTATCACTAAAAATGTATTTTCAATTCATATTGCAGATGCTAAAAATGTAATATATATATATATATATATATATATATATAATATATTTAACAGATAATTTTAAAAATGAACTGTATGTTACGCCCCAATTTACAAATACATATATCTCGTATCATACTTGCCTACGAAAGCTCTCCCAACGCGCCTACGGTTTCCTACGCTACGTTCCGAGCACTATGAAAGCTCTACGAGAATCATAACGGTGCCGGAAGCGGCAGCGTGAACCACGCTTTTTAAAGCTCATGAAAGTTCATATCATATAAACATTATAACATATATAAAAAATTAAAGTATTATTAAAATTTATCTATCTATTACTGTTGTGATAAAAAAATAGAGTAGAATAGAATAGAAATAGAAGTATTTGTCAATAAAATGTGATTAATGTATAAAATTTAGTATAAAATTGATTAATATATATATAGGAAATTAAAGAATCCTATAGTGCATACGTGGTGTTTTTATTCTTTAGTGAAATATGAAATTCAGTTTGTGATAGTGAAAGTGAAGGTAAAATATTTCAAAATTTATTTAAAAATATCTTGAAAATTTTTTGCATTCAACATATATTATAAATTAACCACATCAGTTTGCAGAATACGCTTCAATAAGTGTTTTTACAATAATTTCAAAACAAATCTCACTCAAGATAAAAAATAATGGAGAGTTTAGTACTAAATAGGCCTTACATATCGAATCCTTATCATCTATGTCATGGTCCTATACCAAATTATCTAATGATTCCAAATCCATGTTTCCGAGAACCACATTTTTCTCCAGAAACACATAGCGTCTTGGATTTAAGTTTAAAAACGTCTCCTGCTTTAACATTGCGAAGCACGACATCCACGACAGTCTCCAAAAAAAATCGAGTTGAAGAAAAAAATTTATCGGAATCATATGTGACAGAAAATCATGTGCCATCAACCCATTTGGAAATACAATCTATAAAAAATAATGTTACTGAATTAGTTAACAAATGTACCAGTGAATCGGAAAATATCAAGCCACGTGCTGCTGTTAATAAAAATAGCCATAAAAGAATAGATGTTTTGAATGCAGATGCTAAAGAAAGCAAGGACGTAGAAAAAAATACTGAAACGCAAGTAAATAAAATAACTTACAGAACAAAAAAGAGTAAAATTCGTAAAACTTTAGTGGATGAAGATAAAACATCTCCTGTATCTGGAACCATAATTAGGGATCTTAGGCATGACGAAATTCTTGTTGTTAGAAAGGTATTTTTCTTTTCAATTCGAATATTAAACAATTAATTACAAGATTCTAAATCGATTTAAATATACATAAATGAATTTGTATATATTTTAAATAATATTGAATATATAATAAACTAGATTATTATTTTAAAATTTATGATCTCATATCAAAAATATGAACTTCCTTCAAATTAAAATAATTTTAACAGAAATGGTTAAGATTAATGTTATATTCAATTTTAGGGCGATATTGATCCAGCTTTTAATGTTGTAGAAGTAACTGACGAAGCTAAAGCTTTATTAGCCAAGATAGAAAATAAATTGGGTTCATATATTTGCAAGTAAGTTAAAATTTGTTTACGTCATGGTTTAAATTTCATTTATTTGAAAATATCTAGTATGAACATAGTTTTTATTGCTGGTTTTCTTGGTATAGCAAAAACCTTACTTGACAAGAAAATTATTTCAATTTCAAAATTGTATTTAGATTATGCCGAGCGTTATATGACGACGCATTCCGCCTGGCACAACATCGGTGTTCCAGAATCGTTCACATCGAGTATCGTTGTCCAGAATGCGACAAGGTTACTATATTAAATAACAGTTTTTAGTAATAATTTTATAACCCGGAAATATTATTAAAGGTGTTCAACTGTCCCGCGAATCTTGCTTCGCACAGACGATGGCATAAACCACGTCCGACCACCATATCGTCTGTTACAGAAGAACATCCTAAGAACCAAGATGAAGGGATAGTCATAAGTAATGATAAAGAAACTACGGATAAAGGTTACCAATGCTCTATTTGCGGAAAATCGTTTCGAAGGTGAATTAAACTGGATTTAATTTTATAAAACATTGTTTGAACTATAAGAATCTAGTTTTGAGAATGCATAATAATTTACTTTCCATCCACACATAATAATTTGAACTTTACGACTGAAGGTTTTGCCTTGCTTGATTTGTTAGGATCAGGTTTCTAAAGTCGTACCCCCTAAGAAAATAATATTTAGTGCTATTAAATTAAAAGAGAATCTTTAGTGTTTATTAAATTTGTTTTCAGTTGACTTATGATTAATGATCGCTGATTTTTTATCCATATATGTATTTCTACATTCCTCACAAATGTGCTTCTGGAAAAATTAGGCGCCTAGTGGACTAGTTGCTTTAGTCGTACCACCTACAGCCTTCGTCGTGCCTTCTACTAAAAAAATATGTAGATCTCACTCTGAAATCAATTTATGTCTACTTACTAGCTTTCAAATCAAACATTATTATTAAAATAAACTCTAGAATGAAATTATAATCTGAAAACGTTACGAATGTACTAACAAAATTATTATACTCGGGTGTTAAGAATCGGTGATGAAACTGTTTATGAAGATTAAGTTGTTATTAAATATTAGCACTCAATAAGCCCTATTTTTAACACTTGTACCATTATTGCTTCGCAATTAATTAAGAAAAGCTCTTTATTAAATAGCACTCTCTTTATTAAATCGGTGCAGAAAAGTAATTATGCACAAGTACAATTTAATGGTCTTCAAAGTTTGAAATTTAAACTTCTATCTACGACATAAATTAAACAATTCTGCCGTTTAAATATGCCTGGACAATCAAGAGCGACTAAATATAAATATATATAGAAATATCATGTGATGTAATTTATGAATATCGGACAAACTACATCCGGGGTACGATCAGGCAGTGGTGCAACTTAAGCAACCTTTTGCCCTTGTTAGCATATATCAGAATCAAGTAAAAAATAAGATACCTAATATTATAAAGAATATTTTCTAATTGCTCTGCTATTCGTAGTATAATTTGAAAATTATACAATATAATTAATAATATTAAAAATTACCGAATTTTAGCTTCGATTTGGGCTTTATTTTGTTCCTGTGCGCTTTTTTAATTTCGTTTTTCTAAATATCTTCTTAATATATCTTAGGCAAGCATATCTTAAAAAGCATGAACAAAGTCACAAAGTAGAGAACGATGCTCTACCTCAAGATTGCCTGAAGAACAGTACGAATGAAACAAATACTCATCCGTCAGCATTTCAATATGTTGGCCAAACATCACCGAGTTCACAAGATCTTAAAAATCGATATCCAATGGCACCAGTTTATACAAGGCCTGTGCAACCCCCTACACATTATGATATATATAATAACTTATTATCACATGAGAATATAAGGGCTTATAACTTTAATGCTTGGTCTCTGGATAATGCTGAAACCGATAAGAATGTAGAAGAAAGCTCTGTTCATTCTGATAATAAAATTATTATAGATAACGATCGCCAAGAATCGTCAGCAAGTGATTCATTAACAAACTGACATCAAAAGCTTTGGCGACCAGTGCCACGCTTGGCCAGCGCACTTTGGTCGACCAAAGCTACACCTGTCTTCGATCCTGTAGTTAAGCGCAATGATCAATATATTACCAGAGTAATCGATCCATTCACATACCTATTATAAATTACATTTACCTAATGTACCACGTTATTAAGTATGAAAATACACATCTTAATGTTACTTTAACTGTTTTGTTAATATAATATTACATTTTTACTATGTCACTAATGCTGCTTACTTAAATTATACATGTTTTGATACATCTTTCTGCATTATATGTATATACATATTCTTATATACACCCACAAGCCACCCATATATATATATATATATACAGTGGCGTCGGAACCAAATTTTTGATGGGTGGGCTCGTTTTTTTTTTAGATAGACAGCTAGTGGTCTCGTTTTTTTTTTTTTTAGAGATATTACCCCATATAATTTTTTGAAATTGATGGGTGGGCTGAGCCCCCCCATCACAATTCATGGGTGGGCTCAAGCCCACACAGCCCACGCGGTTCCGACGCCACTGTATATATATATATATATATATATATATAATATGTAAAAAAAAATTGTAATTAAAGTTTTACTATAATTGTCATTTTGATTACAGGTTTGAATCAAAAGACTATATGCATCACAATTATGATTCAATCATAATTTCATTTTATTTTGTATTTTTACATTATTTACAATTTATTACATCTTGTACAAAATATATTTTATTTACAAAAAACTTTATCAAATATTAATAAATATACTACCATATAATCATGATAACAAAGATCTGAACTTTTTATCTTTTTGTCTATCACTATAGTAATGTCTAACATGATTTTTATTTTTATGTTCTATATTTGTATTATTGTTATTAAATTTGTGAGTCACTCTGGAAGGTTCTTGTTCTATTCCTAATCCTGTTCGACGTTTTCTAATAACTGTTTTTATAGGATATTTTCGTCCATCTTCAGATGACCCTAAACCACTATTTTGATTCCATCCATTTCTTATTAAAAGTTGATAGCCTTTATTACTGACAGGAATTCCAAAATATGGTCTAATTATTGTGGATTTAGTATTAAATAAATGTAAGGTTGATGTTTCATGTGATTTTAAAGCAGTATTTTCAAATGATTCATTACAAAATTGGCAGAAAAAACTTTCAACACTGTTTTTAGTGTTTTTCAAATAAGTTTTTGGTGATGTTCCCAATAACATATTAACAATGTAATTATTTTTATGTGAAATAGCTAATGATAAAGCAGTATTTCCTGATTTATCTGTGATAGAAATATCAGCACCATATTTTAACAATAATTCAATAACTTCTTTAGAACCAGCTTGTATAGCACACATTAAAGCGGACCAACCAAAATCATCGATTACATTAACATTTTCTGGATACTCTTTCAAATAACTTTCAAGTGCTTTAGTATCATTATTCACGGCAAATTTCATAAAACTGTTTAAGTTAAAAGGTGTAGATGTCTTCTGGTTTTCTGCTTTTTCAGTTAATTTTATCTTCTTTCTCTGTATAACTGGATTGTCAAATGATTCGGTTATTATACTTTCATAAATATCTCGTGCGGAATTTTGGCCACATTTGGAAGATGATTCAAGAGGTTTTGGTGTTTTTGACTTAGTTTCAGAACATGATGCCTTAGTATTTTCACTAACAAATTGTATGTAATTAATGGGAACAGTTGCTAAAGCCTTCCAATTAGGATGCATTATAGTTCATAAAACAATTATTTCTCCAGACAATATATAATAATTTTATTACTTTTAGTATTCTATTTATTTGTTTTGTATTTCGTTACTGTTTTTAATTAAAGTAAATAAAACTATTTCTGACGTTTCATTTTTGCTATTCCTTAGGATTAGTGCATATTGTATGCTACACTTGACAGCTGTCATCTGTCAACGGTTGTCGACTGGCGGACATTTTTCGAACTATTCATGATTAATCTATAGAGCTAGACAATATAATAATCATGGATAAAAAAAGAATATATTAAAAAAATATACCCGAGTCTGATTAATTACCTGTATTTTGTGTTACCAGTATTAATTACCTGTATTAATTACCTGTAAAACTTTTTATTTTCTAACACTTTTACTATTTTGTTATATAATCCACTCATTTATTTTTCTTACTTTCATTTTGATTATATTATCATATTTCTGTATTGTTATTTATTCCACAATTTTATTCATTTTATATAAAAATCCACTATTTTCTACTTTTCTTAAATATATTGTTTGTATAAATCTTATCAAGATCATGGTTTTTGACAAAAGTCATGAATATGGAACGTACCTAGTTCCGATACGTCAACAGTAAATAAATAAAGAAATGTTTTTTTAAAAAAACTTTTCTGTTTTTTATTACATTTGGATTCTTTGTTCGAAGCAAAATGTCTGTCAAATGAAAATTTTTATTTATATTGCTATTCAATAATTTGCTACACTTTTTATAGTGTCGCAATTGCAATTTTAATTTTCAAATTTATTGAGCTTTTCTTTATAATTTTGCTAATATTAAATCGTTTTCAAGCAAAAATAAAAAAATTAGTATAATTAGTATAATTTAGAATTTTCATATTCTAATCTAGGTCTAGGTCTCACGTCACCTATGGTGGCTGCCATCTTTGTATGCATAAGCTGTCAAGGTTGTCATGGAGATTTTGCTTAAACGGCACGTGTGTTAATTAATCTGTGTTATTGATACAATTTGTACTTGATGGTATGTTTTGAGAACATATATGTGCCGAAGTCCTTAGCTCTCTTTCAGCAACTTTAAATCTAATCAATCTTATAATGGAATACTTTATTTACTGATTCCTTTAATTATATTAATGTATGCAATTATCATATATATAGTATATATGTGCGATGTAGGCACTTCTGCATCATATCTGTAGATTCTATATTATCAAAGTTGAAGTCGCAAATTCTTTCACAAAAGTTTCTAATATGTGCATCGCGTTGTGGGATTGTGTAGATACTCCACATGAACATTTATAAATTAAATTATGAAATTAGTGATCAAAGTAGCATACTTGAAATTGTAATTCAATGTCCAGTTTGCAGCTGCTTCGGAGTATTTTTTGCAATGTAAGTAATCAATTTTTGTACCCAACATGTCTTGTCCAAGAATACTTTCTCTGAACTCATGCACATCAGCCATTTATAATACAACAAAGAATACACTGATTATATTCCAAAACATATAAAATATTCAGTGGATAATAAACTAGTGGGGCGCATGGCACCGTAAGACTAATTGTTGGAACTTACCGTACCGTAATTAAATATTCGAAGAATAAAAATAGTCAGTCAACAAAAATGTCTATGAATAAATATTATAAAAACTAGAATTTTCATTATTTGTTCCTTGTAGACAAATTGTGAAAACTTATTAGATTAGACGTTGTTGTTTATATATGTTTGAATAAAATATATATTGTTGTACCCCATCCAGCGACGGAGCCAACAATATGTAGGTTCTTCCTGCTGCTAAGCATGAAGCTGGTACCAGACTGTGAAGGCGAATCAGTAAAACAGATGAAGACTTTGGATGTTTATGTTTATTTCATGATTTTTGCACACTTTACATATAACTTGAACACTGAACTTAAATATAACTCCATTGATTACTAAATACTACTAACTCATTAACTGAACCTTATGATAACTAAATTATAAATAAATAAAATTATGATTAAGTTTTTATAATATTTATTCATAGACATTTTTGTTGACTGATTTTTTTATTCTTCGAATGTTTAATTACGGTTCGGGAAGTCCCAGCTATTTGCCTTAAGGCACGATGCCATGCGCCCCAATAGCTTGAACTTCTTTGTCAATTTTTTGGTGTTGGTTTTCTTGCATTTTGTGGTCGATATTCGGGATTGACGTGCATCTTGTAGATTTATGTGTTCTTGTGGATACCTCTCGCATCTCTGACTATTAATTATTCATCTGGCGAAGAACAGTATAAGCCGAATAAGTAGCTCGATATACTCGGATCATAGTATCCAAATTAATATGTATCATTGCAGCTTTCAAAATCAAAGGCTTCTTAGCTCTCATTTGAATGAGCATAAGTGCTTTTCTTGTTTTAATGTCGTATTCATACCATGGTGTTTTGTATACAGAAATCGCGACGTCGGCACTCTGAAAATAATTTTTGAAATTAGAAGAAAACCTATTTTATTTTGTTATTTCCTCATATTTTAGAGAAATTTTTCCAGTGCTCTAAAGATATATATGTTTTAATAAAGATTCCTTCAGATCATAGTGAATTCAAATATACAACAAATTGGACTTAATGTTGGAACCAATTTGATACCTAAACATATATAGTTAGACCAAGTTATTAATAATCGACAATATATTGAGTGTTTTTTGCATTCATTTTACCTTCAAAATTATTTCATTTGCCATCCAGTATGTAGCGACGACTATCAAAGAGTAACAAGTTCCGAAACCAATATTTATTATCAGTTCCATTCCGAAGGGTAACTAAAATAAATAAATGTAAAATAATATTATTTGCAATAAATTGAATCAACTCTTTGAATTATTGAAGAAGTTTAAACTACCACTTTCATTAATTATACCCTAAAGAGTTCATTTTTGTGGGCTAAAAGTTAGCCCTTTAAATGTGTAATGCGTGAAATAAAATTTAATAAATTTCTATGCATAAAATTATTTACTAAAAATAACTTGATCCTTCTCCAACTCATTGTCGCCTCTGGTGCATTTGAAGATACAAGTTTCTTTGTAAAAAATCTTGTTTTTTATATATACTATTTGAGTAAATACTAAATGGCCTCGTGCCTTAAGGCAAATTGCTGGAACTTCCCGTACCGCAATTAAAAATCTTGGTACAGAACCCAAAAACAAATAATACAAAACATGAACACATTATTAAAATCTCCGTGAAGTATCTGATAATTTTATGTACATATGTCCAATAAACATTTTTGACCGCCAAATGACATTTTTTTAACTTATTTTTATTGAGAGTCCATAACCGCTAAATCTGCCCAAAAATTTAATCAGTTCTTTATCTTGTCAATACAAGTAAAATGTTTTTTGAATTAAAATTAAAACTGAGTTACCGTTTTTGGCACTTTTTGCCGTGTATCCTGCCTTCGCCAATAACTAATCAGAATGTCTCCTTATCAATACGAATCGAATGTTTTTTGAATTATTCAAATCGGTTGATTCGTGTTCCCGAATTTTTTTTTTTATTAACTCTTTTATTTACAACTGTCCAGTAAAGGACGTTTAGTAAATTTAATGAATTTACAATAGTCCGGCGAGAAGGGACATTGCATACTACATTGTCATGTTGGAAAAAACAACTCAGTAGTTGTTTTTTCCTTTCTATATAAAATTCACAATATTTTATTATTGAATAATTACTTATAAATAATGTTTAAGTTATTTCTATTTTTTTCTCAGGAGAGTTGGGAGAAATTGAAATTGTCGACGAAAATTTGTATCCGCACACACACACATACATCCATTTTTTTAAGGTATGCGATTACTATAACTTGCCCTACGGGAAGTTAAATATTAGTGATATATTTTTAAAAGGCACCAAATCTTACATAAGACAATAGTAGTTAATTCTATCAAATTTAACTCCGGTGCTATGTGAAATACAATATAAAATCACGTAAAAAAATACAACTAAAATTTCTTTCTTTACTTTAGTACGTTCAGAGTTTACTTACCAATGTCGATCCTAAAACCGTAGAAGTCAACATAAGTGTAAAAACTGTTAATTCTATCGCCAGAACTGTCTTGTATACATATTGCACGCCCTCTACAAATCTAGAAAAACAATATAGTTTTGAGAAATGTGAAAATATATTATAATTATATTCTTGTTTCCTTACTCAATACATTCCAAATGATACTGAACACATCTGCAAACGTAATCATATCTTTTCTTCATCAATTCTGCTTCATCCTCCTGGGGATCAACAGTAACGTTCTTGATGTCTTTTATGCGAAAATTTAGTAAATCCATTTTGCACTTGCCATAAAATAAAAACAGCAAGATGTACGAATAATTCGTATAAAATCCATGGATACCGACTGTTGTAATGATTATTTGTAAAATAATATTGAGGTACCAATATTTATTCTCATCATATGGATGCCACAAATGAAAAGGCATTACTTGAACATTCTTCCAAACTGCAAAGCTGACTATAACATATGCATAATAAAAAATTGCTATAGGAGTCGTCCATATATATATTACAGTACTAATCTTTTTATACAAAATAATGAAGCGTTTCATGATGTCTTTTGATCCTTTGTTTCCATAGTTCTCCACGAAGTCCATTTCTTTGTACATTGAAAGCATTAATTTGTTAAATTTATCTTGATTTACCAAATAAGTATATATTTTAGTCAGGTTTACGGTCTGCATGAGGCAGGAACCCCAAGTTAACATCATATTTAAAGCCTCATCCCAATGTATGAACAAATATATGTACATAAAGGCATTCAAAATTGTATATATTATTAAAACAATGTATCCCATAATTCTAATCAAGCCTTCGAATCTCTCACCCTTGTAATGTACTAGAAAAAGGGCGCGCAAAAACAACAAATTCCTGTTTAATATACTATTTGATTTTAATATGGAGTCCATTTCAATTTTCTTTTATTTTGCAAAAGTTTAATTACTAATATACACTAATTATTAGTTAATCAATGAATAAACATGACTTAAATACGACTTTGATTCTTAGATGCAATTCATAACGTTTGAAAATAATTTTTCTAAATAATGTCCCATAAAATAATTGAGGATTTTTTCTGGTCTACTAAATCAGAGTCGTACTGAGTGAAATCTGATTAATTTTTCAATTCTCTTTGCCTAAATATGTACATAATGATAAACTAAAAATTGAACTATTTATTTAAGCTTAAGGGCTATAAAAGAGATCGTGTAATAAAACAATGATAAAAAATATATTAGCTAAAATAAAAAATTACAATTACCATGTTTAAGATTATACCTAGATACGCTGCTGATCTTATAAATCTTTCTATGAAATAAAGTATATGTAATCAAGAAACACTAGAATTTATATAATAATAGCTTATTTTCTCAATTCGGCTCGAAAGAATACTTCTTTATATGTTCTGATGTTTTAACTCCATGGTATTATTTTCAGTAATAAGAACTTGACTTATTTGAATTATATATGGAAGTGTCTATATATTACCTTTTTAAGGTAAATGCTGTATCACCATCTTAACAAAAATTACCGTGCTTAATATAGTAATTATGATATATAATATTATTATCAATGAATAATAATGTTTTTATACATATTATATTTATACTTTATGATATTGTATATATAGTACATAGGTATTTTGAGGTATTTATTTTTTATAAATAAGTCCTGTACTCAAATTATGTCCAAAGTCATTTCATACGCAACAAATACATCTATTCCTATAAAGTTGAAAATATTAATATATTTGATTTAAAGTCGTATTATTAACTTCCCGTAGGGTAAGTTATTGTAATGGGCCGAAAATCGGAATTGAAAATTTTTACATTTCTCGACGTTTTGAAGGTTTCTGAACGTTTTGGCATACCTCAGAAAAAATGGATGTGTGTGTGTGTGTGTGTGTGTGAGTGTGTATGTATGTATGGATACAAATTTTCGCCCACGTTTTCGGGCGTACAGATCAACCGATTTGAATGGTTCAAAAAACATTCGATTCCTATTGATAGGGAAAAGAGCTGATTAGTTTTTGGCAAAGGCAGGTCCAGCCGTTTCGGAGATACTGAGCAAAGAGTGCAGAAAATAGAAATCCAATTTTTGAGAGAACTGAGTATCCAATTTGAATGATCTAAAAAACATTCAATTAGTAATGATTGGGAGAAGTGTTTATTAGTTTTTGGCAAAGGCAGGCCCAGCCATCTTGAAGATACGGAGCTAAATATGTAAAAAATGGCAATTTTTGAGAGAACTAAGCGTCCGATTTAAATGATTCAAAGAACGTTCTGCTTGTCTTAACAAAATAATTGATTTTGGAAAAAAAAATTTCAATTCTTTTTTTTTTTTTTTTTTTTTTTTAGTTTTTTGTATATCAAAATATTTCAGATTTTATTTTTAATTCTGACTACAGTACTAATATACTTTACAAATAATTTCTGCAATTCAGTTTATATAATTCTTATAAGTATTACACAATGTTACAATATTTATAATAATCTATTTGAAAAAATTCAGTATTCCACGAACATTTCGTTACGGTACGGGAAGTTCCAGCAATTTGCCTTAAGGCTCAATGCCATAATTGCCTCAAGACAGAATTCCACTTTCAGCTAGTTTACGCTTTATAATCAGACTGAGATATTTAAAGTGACATGTTTTCATAATAACTATTTTATGCAAATAAGAGCAGTCAATCACATAATACTTGGATTGGATATGAACATTATTACATAATAAAATAATTAAGCAAAAAACTCAAAAATTAAATCTTTCTTAATTCTTTTATTAAAAATAATTAAGAATGGATTTATTTAATATTCATTCTAATGAAAACTTATTTATATCTTTAATAAAACTTGATTTTACAAATATGTAAAACTCTAAATTAATGTTTAATATCTTTTGAAAACTTACTGAAAAATATCCTGACTGTATTCAATTTAATCTAATTTTGTTTTTCTAAATTCATTCATTCATTCATTTTCACATCTTTATGAATTAGAACTAAGAAATTCAAAGCAATGCCCAATACTTAAATAAAGTGTAATTTTAATGGTAATTTAAATAGAAGCAATGTGCCTTATTTAATCGTCAATATTACAATAAAATTTACATTTTTTAATCCCAAACTAGTATAAAAGCAGACCATTTTAGCTGCAAGTACATTTGTAAAATTATGAAGTTATTAATAATAACTAGAGTAATCTACAAAAATTTATTTTGCAATTGCTAACTACTTACATAAATAAAATAAATATTAATCCCGAATACATTTTATGATGTCAGTCTTGAGTATTGAATTATGGTAATAATATTTTTTGAAAAAAAAAATCGATTAAAATACTGTAAATTCTTATAAATATCTCATTACATTAAATAACATATATCTGCAATATATGTTTCATATATCATATCAACATTGTTAACTTCTGTAAAAGTTTTCTGTGCGCATAAAATTAATAACATAGATAATAAGCTTTGTTCTACTCGTATATATTAAAATTTATATATAATTTATTTTATGTATATTTAAAAAAAACTCTATAATAAATTTTTCTGTTTATTTTAATGTTTGTTTAAATACCTAAATACTACATTTTTCAAAGTTCGTAATTTATTATTTTTATTTGTGTATTATTAAAAATTTCAAAGAGGCCATTTATGATATAACATTTAATGCATTAAAGCATATCTAAGATATATTAAATTTTCTACTACTTAATTTAAGAGGAACTAAAGATAAATAAATAAAAAAAATATAATGACTATATAGCGTATAATACTATGAGGAACAAACTAATTGATAAAAAAATGATCAATTTGTACAAGTATAATTATCCATAGATACTCGATCGACATATTTATTTAAATATTCAAAGTCATGAAATAGAAATCTAAGAAATAAACTGTCTAGGAACAAAAGGTGAAAAGTTACCTTGCTTACTATTACTCAATAATACTAATTATAAAAAACAATAAAAAAATTAATAACATTACTTTACATATAAATCGTTATAAAAATTCTTATTTAGATCTATGTGGTGCAATAAATTTCATTACGGACGTTTTGTGCACATGATAAAAAATTTGGTTTATCAGTAACTAGTTTTCACATTTTGTCTACAAAGAACAAATAATGAAAGTTCTAGTTTTTATAATATTTATTTATAGACATTTTTGTTGACTGATTTTTTTTATTCTTTAATTGTTTAATTATTAATTATTCATCTGGCGAAGAACAGTATAAGCCGAATAAGTAGCTCGATATACTCTGATCATAGTATCCAAATTAATATGTATCATTGCAGCTTTCAAAATCAAAGGCTTCTTAGCTCTCATTTGAATGAGCATAAGTGCTTTTCTTGTTTTAATGTCGTATTCATACCATGGTGTTTTGTATACAGAAATCGCGACGTCGGCACTCTGAAAATGATTTTTAAAATTAGAAAAAAAACTATTTTGTCCCGTTAGTCCCTCATATTTCAAAAAATTGTCTCCAGAGCTCCAAATATACTTATTTTTTAATAATGATTCCATCAGATCATAGTGAATATTTGAATATTCAACCACCAATTTGAATATTCAACAAACTGGACTTACTGTTAGAACCAATTTTTCTAGCATTATATAGGTTTTTAGATCAAGCAATTAATAATCAACAAAATATTGAGTGTTATAGTTGCATTTGATTCAATTATTGAGTTTTTTTTGCATTCATTTTACCTTCAAAATTATTTCATTTGCCATCTAGTATGTAGCGACGACTATCAAAGAGTAACAAGTTCCGAAACCAATATTTATTATCAGTTCCATTCCTAAGGGTAACTAAAATAAATAAATGTAAAATAATTTTATCTGTACAAAGTTGAATCAAATTTTTGAATTTTTGAAAAAGTTTAAACTACCACTTATCAACTACCTTTTACCCTTAAAGAGTTCATTTTTGTCGGCTAAAGGATAGCCTTTTAAATGTGCGATATGTTAAATAAAATTCAATAAATTCGTGTGCATAAAATGATATACTATTACACTAATTAGGTGATCATTCTCTAACTCATTATCGACTCTGGTGCATTTCTAGATACAAGTTTCTTTGTAAAAAAACTTGTATTTTATATACACTATTTGAGTTCACTGTTCTTTCGATTAGTTAGTGTAATAAATATTAGTGATATATCTTTCTAAAAGATTTTTTAAGACAATAATAGTTAATTAATGTATCAAATTCAAATCCGGTTCTATATGAAATACAATATAAAATCACATAAAAATATACAAC